TATGCGAAACAAAAAAAAATATGGTCAGAAGTGCCAACCCTAGACCAAAGACATCATTATTGTAATGGATGTCACGGGCTGCAACTCCACAAGTGCTCTTGAAAGTAGTGGCTTTACCACGAACCATGCCCCCACAACAAGCAAAAACCAACCCTTTCTCCTAAATAATAAAAGTTAAACGCAATGCAGAATAAAGTTTGCAGTTTCGAAGACTAGATGGTGCGACAATCGCGAGAGCAACACATTAGCGACATCTCTTGGTGAGTGAGAAAATTACAGAGGAATTATGATGTCGGTGAGTGTTGAAGCTTTTAGAGATGTGTAGGTGCAGTACTTTTAAGGATTTTTTAAGTATCACACTCATAAATACTTGAAGTATTTACATAGGAATGCATTAATAATATTTTGAAGTCTTTTATTTGATAGATGACCCTTTAGAAAATAGGTGAAACAACAAAATCTACCCAACAAATTTTGTCTTTTTTTTTATTTATTCATAAAGTTCACAATTCTTTTAAAATTTGTATCCATTTATTATTAATATTTTTACAATTTACATTTTTCCGGTTTTATTTCAAAAAATATATGACTTGAAACTATTAATGTAGGTACTTAATTTACTATTACGTAAGTAAGAGCACTAACCTAAAATGTCCTTCGTCTGACGCCCTGGCATATAAGGCATGCGGCCCACAAATCCACATACCTAGCTCAAACCTTTCTAGACTGCTTACTGGTGCTACTACCAATATTTACAAATTTACATCAACGCAAGTACTGTTGGACTAAATGATACAGTTACGTATACAGATAATAACACTCAATAAAATATATTATGCTTTTAATTCGTAGAGCTGAAAAACCTGGCAATATTTGCCTGGGAATCAAAACCAATTGAGCCCTTTCTTGATCTAGTACCTATTCTAAAATATGTAGTTGCCTTGTCAACTGTATTTAGACCTACTTGAAGAACCTAACGGGCAACCGGGGCTCCGGCTCGACGTGCAGGAGAAGGAACGGGGTGGTTTTTAGTCAGTAAGAGTCTGACACTCCCTTCCGCCTCACCCAGGCGGGAGCAGTCATTCGATGACTTTCCCCCCTTAAAAAAAAGACCTACTTGACAGGCCTACATATAGCGCCATGAGGACTATATATATAAAACCTGACATAATATTAGAATTCATCAATTACAGGTTGGTACCGGTTGTAGTGTATAATGCGCATAAACTGCGCAGGTACTTAATAATCACATTAACTTGACGCTTATTACAATCAGTCAATTTATGTATTCCGTTCTTGCTTGGTCATGTTGCACGCAAACAGGGTTCGTGGTGCAAAGCCGTGATAGAGTGGAGACCGTGGGGCGAAAAACGCCCACAAGGAAGACCCCAGATGCGTTGGTACGATGACATCAAACGAACAGCTGGCACGAAATGGATAGAAATTGCTCAAGATCGAAAGAGATGGCAGAACTAAAGGAGGCCTACTTCCTAAAGGTAGAAAAAGGCTAAAGAAGAAGAAGAAGATTCTTGCCTTCTTCAGATTTGTCTTTTTTTTTCTTAAAAAAAACGTTACCCCACACTAGGATTTTCTCCTGTGTCGTGAGTGCATTTACAAACATACAAATTCACATACACATGACACCCAGACCATTTGTGGATCACACAAAGAGTTGTTCCATGCGGGAATCGCAACCGCGACATGTTGCACGGCAGCCGGTTGCCCAGCCACCGCACCAACCGTGCAGTCTTGTAGGCAACGCAGTTATAACCCCCCAGGTGATGCATTATGGAGTTTGCCGGAGAGAACGCCTGGATATCCTTAAAGAATCACCGATAGACGGGCGTAAAATTTTGGTGGCTCTATGACCCCCAAACGACTTGATAAACGTAGATCATAGCACACGTTCCTCAGATTGACTGCCTCGTTGGCCGAGTTGTCGCAAGTGGGACTGCCGGGCAAGGAGTCTCGGTTTAAATTCCCGGGTCGGGCAAAGTATTACTGGGTTTTAAAAAAAAATCTCAGTAGTAGCACGGAGTCTGGAATTGTGCATATGGCAATAGGCTCACCCCCTATTACATGGGACTTGATGGGGCTCATAACATAAATAGTGAAAAGTGGGTGGCTTAGTGTGCACCTCTGCCTACCCCGTCGGGGATAAAAGGCGTGATGTTATGTATGTATGTATGTACTTATGTTCCTCAGATTTCCCTAAGTCCTCAATGAAGATGAAAAACCTCGGCTATTCCCAAGCAATGAACGTCTCTCGATTTTACAAACTGCTGATTATATGACCATGAACTCTAGATGCATAGTTTACCTACCACAGACACTCTAAACAGATATTAATAAATGAATAGTAAAATCAATAGATGTTCTCTCATTAGACCTCTGCATAATGAAGTAATTATGCTAATGCAGTCAGAATAAAAGAAACAAATGATAAGCGTATCACCATTTTCTAATCGACTGTGTGTGGGATTGTTACTAGAGAGAATTTTATACAATACAAACCGGTCTGTTATCTTTCGTAAATATTATTTATTTATACCAATGCTATATCAGTGTTATAGCTTGGACCTGTGACTTCACTTTCATTAAAAATAAGTTTTCAATAGGGTAGATGCATTTCCCTAATTCCCTATTGACAATGGCAATGGCAAGCTTCCAATTCCCTTGATAATTATTTACATTTACAACTGTTAAACCATCATATCTGTCCATCACTGAACAATTAGGATGTGCTCTATCTCTAAGCATTTTACAAGTTTTAGTATATTTTATATCAACTTGTACCATCGCCATATCACCGTCACCCCAGTTTTTTTTCTGAAAATATAAATTAAATAGCCTCATTGGCCGAGTGGTCGCAAGTGCGACTGCCGGGCATGGGATCTCGAATTTGATTCCCGGGTCGGGAAAAAATTACTGTGTTTTTTATAAATTCTCAGTAGCAGCACGGAGTCTGTAATTGTGCCCAGTATATGGCAATAGGCAATATTACATGGGAATGGGACTCATAACATAAATAGTGAAATATGTGTGTTATATTGTACAGTGGCATAACGTGCACCTCTGCCTACGTCTTAGGGGATAAAATGCCTTATGTTATAAATTAAATAACAGGGACAGGGCCCTCTTAGACTGCGCTGGGGCCAATAAACACATAATAAGTCACTAATTCAGGGCCCTCGTGAAATGTTGTTTTTTTTAACGTTACACCACACTAGGATTTTCTCCTGTGTAACTGTACAAACATACAAGTTCACACACATGACACCCAGACCCGAAACAACAATTTGTGGATCACACAAAGATTTGCTTCGTGCGGGAATCGAACCCGCTACACTTTGGGGGGCAGCCGGAGCGAGTGTGTGTCCGTCGTACAAATTATCGGTCCTTCGGGGCCTCCTGAGGATGGGGCCCTGGGCACGGGTCCCGAGTGCTCTTATGGTACAGATGATACTGCTACCAATTTATACCAAGAGCCGTGATGAGAAGATGTCTTTGCCCTGATGATACCGATAATATACCTAAAGAAGATCACCTAGGTCACCCTGGGCTTCTTGGGGGCTCCGGAGCAGGGCTCTTCAGAGGACCCGGTGCCCCTTACAGGTGGTGAGGGTTGCCACCGGGGTAGTTTTAGTGAGATAAGAATCCCACACTCCCTAGTCTTTCTCCCCAAAAAGCTAGGCGCCTTTTGAAGGTTTCCCCCCGACATCAAAAAAAAAGGTCACCCTGGGCTTAAACTGTGGCATATTTGAGAGCGAGCCTATTGTAATTCAAGTACATATTATGTAGTAACAATATACGGAGCTGCGGAGGACTTAACGGGTTGCCGGGGCTCCGGCTCAAAGTGCAGCAGTAGGAACGGGGTGGTTAGTCAGTACGAGTCTGACCACAGATATAATAAAGAATTTTTTTAATATTTCTGTGAGTCTGACACTCCCTCCCGCCTCACCCGGGCGGGACAAGTCATTCGATAATTTGCCCCCCTTAAAAAAAACCTAGTAACAATAATCATTTAGCACATTCACTACAATTTCGGAATAACACTAATCTATTAATAACTTTACAAAAACAAGCCGTTTGCGATTTTTTCCACTATATTATGTAAATATTGATACATAGGCGATATTGTTTTGTAACAAAATTCACGGACTAACGTTAATTTCAATTAAATTGTAAACATTTGTCAAGATAACAGTTTTTTGTTTACTTTTCTCGAATTCTTGTTATCTTTCAATTTTAATCACTATGTAGATAATAGATATTGTTGTCAACATTGTATCTTCGTGCTCGTATCTCTAGGAGGCTTGGCAGAGAAGTTATAGAAATAATTATGAGCAAAGATTTGTTGTTTTGGTAGAGACAGTAAGTGAGTTACGACTACATTATCATGAGGTCCTGATTAAAATCAATTGTATTTTTAACCGACTTCAAAAAAAGAATGTATATTTATATTTATGTTTGTGCGCGATTCTCTGAGCCGATTTTGATATGGTTTTCAAAAGAGTGTGTTACAGTTAGGAGAACGTTTTAGTCTATATTTATTAATCAACCGACTTCGTAAAAAGAGGGTGTTTAAGTCGATTTTTATAAACGTTGTTTTTAAAAGAATTATTTGTGGAATAACAGTCATTTTGTTGTGTATATAGGCATAGCACTGTTGCAGTAAAGTTCAATATTAATATTAGATATAAAAATTTTATTTCTACGAGGGTTGATCATCTACATGAATATTGTTCATGTGTCTATTATTGATGTCATCTAGAAGTCGATTCACTCATAAACAATTGTATGTAAGGAAAACAATACAAATATTTATAAATACTTTATTGTTTATAATTTATAATAAAATATTTCCACGGGGAATTAAAGCTAGGCACTAGGGCATAGGCAGTAATACATTCAATGTTGGATTGGTTGGTTGGATATCGCATAAATATTCAAACGGCGACCATTATTACATGATACTGTCGCTGGTGGAATAAAAGCGCTCACTTCTCGTTCTCATGAACAACTTGTGGCTTGTAGTCCAGCTCCAGCACCTTGCTGAGGCTGCTCACATACATGTCAAGACGCTGGGTCATGTAGTAGCAGCGTCTATCCTTAATCTGCCTGTTCTTGTTCAAGTCCATCACAGCAATCAACAGCCCGTCCCTGGTGCGCGAAAGTCCAGGACACCGAACGCCATCAGGGCCAGTGAAGTAACTAGACCCGTAGAACAGACCCAGGTCTTTGTGAGCTGGTTTCCCATCAGCAGAAGTAAATTCGTTAGGGAACTCTTCATACCCGACTCTGTTGATCGCAGCTGTATAGTAGCAGTTCGTGATGGCGGCGTTTCTAGCCTCAATGTTCCACATGTACTCACTGCCAGCCTCAGCAGCAATAGTAGCGGATGGATTGAACACAATCTCGGCTCCATTCTGTCCGAACATCATCCAGTTCAGCACGTGATGACGTCCGAAGCAAATGTTCACTGCAATCTTACCGTACCGGGTCGCGAAGACTGGATGGCCAGTATTACCCTCCATGTAATAGTTAGATTCATTGAAGTCTCCCACTCTTGGAATGTGGTTCTTGCGATGCTTGCCAATAACGCTTCCAGTGTCGCTAATAATTACGGCGGTGTTCCATAAGATGTCGGAGTGGTTCTCGTCTCTTTCGAGAATAGACGACACGAATACCATTGCGTATTTAGCAGCCAACTCACTCAGGAATCTCGTAGTAGGGCCATCTTCAGCTGATTCGGCGAATTCGCACCAAGGTTGTTTCTCCCTGGTGCAGAAAGCGAAAGGCATGTTCCATAACTCTTGGAAACAAATAATGTTGACGCCTTCCTGGCCGGCGACATCAATGATCTTCTTAACTTTTTCGAAGATAGCTTTCTTCTGCTCGTTGACGGGGCGGTCGGTGGGAGCGGCGATGGAATGCTGGATGACACCAACTTTCACAATCCTGGGGGGCCTGGTCTGCTCTTTCTTAGCGGGGAAAGCATAAGAAGCGATTTCGAAGTCTGCTTCTTTAGCGGCGGCAATAGAAGATTCCTTTAGCTTAACTTCATGGTTGTCAGTTCTTCCGTAGTAGATTCTGTTGAACTCTTCGAGATCACGGCCATTGAGGTTGTTGTTGATGATGGATTCAAGGCTGACGGTTTCGTTCTCCATTTCTGCGATGTGTATGTGTATGACTGTTCTCTAGGATAGCTCGTCAACGACTGCGCTTTTCAGCCTGCGCCCGCGTTTAAATACCTTCAAGTTCGTTAGTGATGCATTAACCGTAGGTTTGTTTATCTGTGTGGTCCGAGTGGTGCGGGCGACCTTCGACCCTACGCGATAAGTTTAGAGGCGGCTCTGAAAAATATTTGGTTATCTTCACAGCTACGTGACCGGAGGAGCAGGACCATTGCGGGGTGTCATGTGATAATGTATTGTGAAAATAATTTATCTCAAAAATAGGCTTATTTTTACCCATCTACCAAATAGGCTTGTTTATTATGTTTAATTGAATGTTTTGTTTTGTTTATGATTTGAGATTTGGAAGATTTTCTTGTTTTTTTGAACATAACATAACATCACATCACGCCTTGTATCCCCGAAGGGGTAAGCAGAGGTGCACATTACGGCACTCAATGCCACTGTACAATGTAACACCCACTTTTCACTATTTATTTTTTGAGTCCCATGTAATAGGGGGTGAGCCTATTGCCTTTTTTAAACTAACAATAATAGCGTTGCATGTATGTTTGTATGTAGGTATAGAATAACATTGTTTCTAGAAGCACTCATTAAATAACATGTATATCATACAGGAAGGTAGAAATGTAATATTCTTTATTTCAGGGATGTATTCAACTTACTTTACAATGGCATTCCTGTGCATCTCCTCATTGATCTAGTGATCACAAATGTGGCTACCGAGCATGATTCTCAAATTCGAATGCAGGGCTAAGAAAATTATTCTTAAATGTTTTATTACTGGTATATTATTATAGGTTTGTAAATAAGTTTGACTGAGAAGAAAACTCTAGTGAGGGACAACGATTAAAAAATGCATTAACATGATCATGTTTGAAGGTGTAGCTGGTAATTGCAGGATGTGTGCGGTAAGTAGGGATACGACGGTCGTTTGTTTTTTTTAAATTTTCAAAAATAACACGCAATATGAAATACTGAATTTCATGATGAAAAAGATTGGCCACAGGAAGCTAGAAGAAGAGACGAGTATAAGGAGGGTAGGGAGGCCTTGGCCCAGCAGTGGGACGACCATGGCTAAAAATAAAATACACCATTTACAGAGATTATATGTAAACGTTATGATGTCCCTAATTAAAATTAATGACAATGTTTTTAAATGCAACAAAATACATATAACATTACGCCTTTAATCCCCGAAGGGGTAGGCAAAACACTTAATGCCACTGTACAATGTAACACCCACTTTTCACTATTGATATTATGAGTCTCATGTAAACATGGGGTGAGCCTATTCCCATATACCGAGTACAATTCCAGACTCCATGCTACTACTGATATTTTTTTAATAACCTAGTAATACTTTACCCGACCCGGGAATCGAACCCGAGACTTAACTCGTCGAGTACCGTATTTATAGACACAATTAAAGAACAATAGGTTGCGGTCACCGGTGACCGCTTGGTGATTGACAGTTTAAAATGCAACTTTCATGAAAATCTATAAAAGTCAAATCATTCATATCTGTTTTAATTTTTCAACTCTTATATTTTTATTACTTCCGCTGTCACACCTTGATTGTCTTTTTTACATTTTATTTATGCTGCATCGTGCCTGGTGCTAAATAAATGTTTTTTCTTTCTTTCATATTTATGTATGTATGTACCTATTTCATTTTCTAAATCATACAATCACTACACCACGGAACTCGGTAGTCTCCAGTAATATCTTTAGTCTCCGCAGCTGCTGTTTCGGTTTCAAAATGAACAGAGAATATCAAATATTGCGGTAACAGTTACAATACGATCCTATTATTATCCGATACAGTAACCACAGAACGCCCTAGATTTAAGGGCAGCTAAGTATATATTTATTACTAGCTTTTACCCGCGGCTTCGCTCGCGTCACAAAAGGATAAAAAGTAGCCTATGTGACACAGTCCAATACACACAGCGCCATCTATACCAATACTTTTGTTTTTCCTTGGGAATATAAATTTTCCGGGATAAAAAGTACCCTATTATTTAATGCGGACTTCGAACTTTACGTTTGCAAAAATTCAAAGCAATCGGTTCAGTAGTTATGACGTGAAAGCAGAACAAACAAACAAACAAACTCACTTTCCGATTTATATTATTATTATTATAGTAAGGATGTAAGGTTACACTGTGACATCCAAAAAGGAAGGAAGTAGGAATATCGATTTATACAAAGAAAGAAAGAAAGAAAAAACCATTTATTACGCCACGACACACAACAAGAATTTAGGTACACATAAAAAACCTATGGTGCGTCGCAGCGCAAAAGGCTGGATGACTGCGTGGTAGAGATAGTTAAATATGTGCAATTACTTAGTATACCTAACTGACTTTCTCTAATGATCATGCTTATAAAATAATTACTTAAGTCCTCAGGCTTAGTAGTTACAAGTGCGTCTGATTTTTATTGAGAGGCGCGCAGTGACGAGAGTGAGATCGATTCCCGCATGGAATAACTCTTTGTGTGCTCCACAACTTTGTTGTCCTGGTTTTGGGGATGATATAGGTATATGTAATCGTGTATGTCTTCAAATGCATAGGAGAAAATACAAGTGCTTGTGGGCCCATTCTCATATGCAGTCAGACGGCCTGCCCTTTTTTTTTTTAAGGGGGGAAAATCATCGAATTTCTGCTCCCGCCTGGGTGAGGCGGAAGGCCTGCCATGTGTTGGGGCTTACAGCTGTTAAAATGCATGTTGTAACAGTACCTAAGTTAAAAAGAGGTTTAAGACGCTGGCTTCTCATGCATGAGAATGCGGGTTCGAAACCTACCAACGGCAAGAACCAAAGTGACTTTTTCCGAGTTATTTGTACTTTCTAAGATTATTTAGACACCGCTGACAAACGGTGAAGGAAAACATCGTGAGGAAACCTGGGCTTATAATTTCTAATTATAAGTTTGTAATCGCCAACCTGCATTGAGCAAGCGTGGTGATAAATGCTCAAACCTTCTCCATGTGAGAAGAGGCTTTGCTCAGCAGTGGGCATTTATAGGCTGTTTATGACCTATATTAGTGTTCAAAATATTATAACTAAATATTATAACTAAATAGTAACTATAAAGTTCTAAAAATACAGAAACAATGAGTTAGTACCATTATGTTGGCACCTAACAAGTACCAACGTAACGTAAACAAATCTTTAATCAAATGTTGACCAATCTGGAATAATACACTAGTGTTAATTCATAACGAGTCGCGCGCCAACTTGTTAAACATCGATTAGTTACACAAGCCACGCTTATTTACATCGCCCACAACGTTGCGTAACGTTTATCAATCTTGTTTATATACTAAAGCTATTTATAATTATCATATAGCAGATATGGCCACCCAGTCACTGCATTTAGACGAAATTATTAAAAATAAATTAAATCCTGAACAGTTAAAGGAATATCACAGAATTCATTATGGAAGAATTGATCATTGTGAACTAAATCTTCAAGATTCAACATTAGAAGCAGGTAAGCTGCATGATTTTGAGGTTGCTGCATATTCCTTCGATGCAGCCAAAGAGGTTAGAAATCCTAGACTCGTCAAGGTCGGTTTGGTTCAACATTCTATTGTTTTACCGACAACGGAGCCAGTTGAACAGCAGAGAAACGCTGTATTTAACAAAGTCAAGAAAATTATTGAAACTGCTGCTTCGGAAGGTGTTCAGATCCTTTGTCTTCAAGAAGCATGGTACATGCCATTTTTCTTATGCACTCGTGAGAAAGAAGAATGGAAAGAATTTGCGGAATCAGCAGACAAGGGGCCCAGCTTTAACTTTTTGAGTGAATTGGCTAAGAAATACAATCTAGTCATCATATCACCAATTTTAGAAAATGACAATGGCGTTTGGTGGAATACTGCAGTTGTAATAGATGAAAATGGGATTTACTTGGGTAAACATCGCAAGAATCATTTACCAAGTGTCGGGAGTTTTAGTGAAACCGCTTATTATCTACCTGGCAACACCGGCCATCCTGTATTCGAAACAAAATATGCAAAGATTGCTATAAATATTTGCTATGGTCGTCATCATGCTTTGAACTGGTTGATGTTTGGACTCAATGGAGCTGAAATTGTCTTTAACCCAGCTGCAACCATTTCTGAATTTGGAGAATCGTTTTGGGGCATAGAAGCTCGCAATGCTGCGATTGCTAATAGCTATTACACTTGCAGTCTCAACCGAGTAGGCACAGAAGATTTTACCACCCGAAATACTCAGAAAGACATATCAAGAAGTTACTATGGATCAAGTTACATTACTGCTCCTAACGGGTACCGGACTCCCAGCCTATCAAGAGACAGAGATGGACTTCTTATTGTGGAAATGGATTTAAATCTTTGTCGTCAAGTCAAAGACCACTGGGGCTTTAACATGACGGCCCGCCTGGACATGTATGCAAAAGAGCTACAAGAAGTACATCCCACTCCAAACCCGCTTTAAAATACTTCTTTGTTGTGATATAATGTTTATAACACATTAAAACAATGTTTTAATGGCTATTTGTAAAAAAAAAACGATATATAACATTGAATCTGCAAAATAAAAGGTAATGTTTGGTAAATGTTTGCTTTTCCTCTCAAAATATTCTCGTATTTTCATTAGTCCATAGACAATTGTTTCGTCCTAACAATGGCAACATTATAACTGTCTTTGGCTTTATTTATTATCTGTGCAAAAAAGTCGCCGATGAATTGTCACTTTTTCGGTTTCCCGTGTAAAGTTTATTGCTGTATTTTTATTAGAAAATAGCTGGATTTATTTACATAAAGCAAAATGGTAAGCAGATTTTACCGTTCTTTACTTTTGATTTGTGTTTTAATGTAACAAACAGGGGAATAAAATAGAAAATTGGTTATGATAGCGTCATGAACATTACAATGCATAATTTGTATTTTGTTCTGCTAAAACTTAGCTTTCTACTGCAATTGGACTTATTAACTTGATACTCAATAGAAATTAATGAAAATTCAACCTTCAAAATACGATTTTTGTGACATTTGCTGTAAATATGAAAATAATTACAATGAGAATCTGGATATACCTGACCGCTGTCTTATTTGTTTTCAGTCTATTTTAGCTTATAACGGAGGTGCTGTGGTCGCCATGAAAGGCAAGGACTGCGTGGCGATCGCAACAGATAAACGGTTTGGTATTCAGGCCCAAACTGTTTCCACGAACTTTCCCAAGGTATACCAAATGGGTCCCTCATTGTACGTCGGCCTCCCCGGCCTGGCCACTGATACACAGACCGTGTTCCAGAGATTAAAATTTAGGTAAGGAACTATTGGATGCTATCTTTGAAATAATAACACAGAGCGCTACTAATTATTTGAAGACTTGGTTCTGTTCTTGTGTTCTTTTAAATGTGTAAACTGGAACCAGTGTTTAATAGCATTATTTAGAAAAATACACTCTCATAAGTCATTTCATATAATGCCATTCCGGAGTAACTATTAACATTACTATCTTCTTCATTATCATAATACATATATCCTTGTACATTTAATTCCAGAATGAACCTCTATGAGCTCAAGGAGAACAGAATGATGAGACCGAAGACATTCTCAGCAATGCTGTCCAACCTGTTGTACGAGAGGCGCTTTGGACCTTACTTCATTGAGCCCGTCATTGCTGGACTGGACCCCTATGACAACCAGCCCTATGTGTGCAATATGGATCTGGTAAGATTTATTTATTTTATTTATTTATTTACACTTTTTGTATATATACAATGGCAGACTTAATGCCTAATGGCATTCTCTAACAGTCAACCTTAGGGTGATGCAGAGAGACACAATAGTAGGTGTAAACGTTTAACACTTATTAGAATGACACAATAATTAACATTACATATGATTAACATTAAAATTAACATCATATATAATTATACATATCATACAATATATACTTATTAAATATAAAATATATTCGTAATGCAAAACGAACAGTAGACAAATAGTATGGGACATATATATACCTAAATATACGAAGGAAAATACATAACATAATATCTTATCTGATAGTAACATATTATTGTCATAGAAGTTTTCAGTTAAAAGCTATAACTTCTGCAATTAGCCAAACGAAAATATCTTCCAGATTTTACTAACTGTCTAATAGGATACAAGCCACATTCTATATATAACAATAAATATAAATAATTCAATGGGTAGTTTGTTCTCTTACAATTAACTTCAACCTTTGTTTACCTATAACTTGTGTTACACTCTGCTAACAGAAATTAATGAATACTCCCCAGTCCCTGTTACCATCAGTCATACAACTAATTCATTGCTGGTAAATGTAAAACCAAGTTTTTAACGTTATTTTATAATTGTACTTGAAATAAGTTCTTCTGATAAATGTATTGTTTCTCAGATTGGCTGCCCCAACGAGCCTGAAGACTTTGTAGTGTCAGGTACCTGCTCAGAACAGCTGTATGGTATGTGTGAAGCTCTGTGGGAACCCAACCTGTCTCCTGATGAGCTGTTTGAAACTATCTCACAGGTAAGATATGTTTTTATGTAGCTTTACTCTCACCAGCCTGTCGATTGTCTGAAACATTATACTATTCCAAAAATTCGGCTCTTAGTGGCCTGTAAACAGTGTTTTGTCCACCATAGTGCTTAAAAAAGTAACTTCTTAAATATGAACATAGAAATACTGGTATGTCACATCTTTTACCCCTGAAAATCACCATGTGTAAACTTTACATTGTCTCATAGTTATCTAAATTCAATATGATTTTAACTAATGTATTACTAAAACAAACATTATAACCAATTTCTCTAAATATTAATAGTCAATATTCTCTCGTAACTTCTCAGGCGCTAGTTAACGCGGCCGATCGTGACGCCATCTCTGGTTGGGGCGCGGTCGTGTACATCATCGAAAAAGACAAGATTACTGAGAAACACGTCAAGACGAGGATGGACTAGTTTTATTGTAAGATACGTCGGTCTGGGGAGCTTTTACTAATAAAATTATTTTAAAACTTATGTTCTGACTTTTATTGTTAAATAGTATCATCTTCGTTTGCCTGTTTTCTTTCAGTGCTAGGCTTAGGTTTCTCCAATGCCTCGCCAGTCGCCACTAAGTTCAATCTTCAGCTCTTCATGTCTGATCACTGCCAGTCACTGGACATATAGACACTCCACTTAGCTAAAAGTTCCAATAAGTACGTTTGGTAGCAGTGTAGTAGGTCGGGAATAGTGGTAATAAATAAATAAAACTCTTATAATGCAGAATCTTTATAAACCGAATATTTAAAAAATTAAGTTTTAATTTTTCATACACATTTTTTTGTCTTTACAAGAGTAGTAGACTAGAGAATTAACATTTCAACCGTGTTGCTTACATGCCGAATATGTATGTAGCGAAGCTATCGTTTTAATAAATATATGCCGTACATTGCGGGCTCGTGGCTTCAACCGTCACCGATAACAAGATAAAACCTATTCAAAATAACATAACTACAAATTAAAATACAATTACCGACCTAAACAATGGCAACACATATGACGTAATTTGAATCATTTCATGACTAACACATTGTTCAGGAATCTTTAGACAGGGTCCGGGATAAAATAAAAAAAATCCTCTTCTCTGAGAGGGTAACAAAGGATTTCTAAACTACTGAAGCCGACCACTTCGTAACAAAACTACTCGTTCGTTATCAATTTAGAAATGTGAAGTGGTTAACTCGAATCTAGTATAAAATTAATATCTAAAAGTAAACAATATCTATCACAAAAACTAACATCTGACAAAATTATTTCAAATCGTAGGCAAACCAATGGGAGCCTGAAATACTGATTTCCATGAATCTTGTAATATTTCCCGATAGACAGTCAAAAGTTAAAAGAATTACAGTGATCTTATTCTGAGGTCAGTTGAACATTCGATATGGCGTAGCCCGGACTCGTAACGTAACGTGTCGAGGTGACTACGCATAAAGTATAAAATTTACCAATATTATTAGTACACCGTAAACGGCGCATGAATTTTCACAGAATAAATCACAAAGACTTCATAACAATCCAAGTCTTATTCGAAATATAGAATAATAAATAACAAAATCTTACATCATACTATTAAAAACACTACTCTAGACAGAACTAAGCGAACTAGGTATGGGTATATTGGCAAAACGACGTATGTATTGGGTGAAACACCGACTCTTAACAATGGCCGTTCCTCTATACAACTCTGGACCTTACTGCCCATATTATAGAATACATAGTAAACTGTTATTTAACGAGTACAATACCGAATACATTGTATAACAGTTTGCCCTGGGTACAGGCAATTATGAGCTTTATTGACTTGCGAATATTTCAATCAAGTTCGATACCTGAATCATGTCGATACTACTTCAATAATTCTCATACTTGTAACAAAGTATGGATCGACACAAATTACTTAATTTCCATTAACACCATATTACATGTACTAAAGTCACTATTTAACATTTAAATTCCAATAATGTATTATTGACAAATTTCATAAGTTCGTACGTGTCGATCCATACTTCCCAGGGGATTACAACTTTTATTATGAACAAATCTTGTGTACTTGAAACGATATAGAATATTATAGAAGGCATTATAATAAGATACAATACAACGGCCAATAATATTAGTATACAAGTATTCTGATAAAGTTTAATTGGCCAACCGTAACACGTCAACATCCTAATCCAATGATATTTTAACATTTTTTTTTATTAATATTATTAATTCATTATAATTTGTCAATTACTAAACTACGCGTTAGCGGAACATTATAAAAAGCTAATAACGAGTTATGAAAATTATTGCGAACGTGCTTTTAAGGAATATTAAAGTTTATTATTGTATTCTGAGGTAAACACGGCAGTATTCCTTTATATTGCTTGTTACATTGCATTTTGATGCATGATTCGTTGACAAACACAATGCACTTTCACTTTAAATGTTGGTGACACGGATTAGGCATAAAACGGAGGGTTACAAAACTTAACGTCTTGCCATCCATATCATACGTTATTCGTGTCTTACACACTGCTTTTATTTATGCAGTACAAAGATAATGCTGTTCGTCAACACACGCGTACTTTGATTTTTATAACTGCACAGAATAACAATTTACATTTCAGTGTTTCGATGAAGAAAAACGAGCGAAATCCACTGCAATGTCTCGTAGAAAGGTATACTCATATTATTTAGGTATCGGGAAAGTGCGCAGTAGCAGAAATACTATGTTTGAGATTACCTCAACATGCCTCGTACGAATACAAGACCTAATTTAATTTGTATTGTCGTTTATTATCTCTTATACTGCTAATATAGAGAACGATGTTACAAATGACGAAATATTATAGTGAATTATCATAAAATATCGAATATGCTCACTACTTTCCCAAACATTTTACACCTTCGATTGTAAAACTAGCTAAACTATGTCGGTGTAAAATCTGCTAACAGTCTTAATTGAAAAGACGAGGCAATCTCAAACGTAGCACTATAACAATAAGATTCAAACAGCACAAAACAGGGACTCAGAGTGAGAATAAAACGTGAATATTGTCAAAAAGGGTCCGCTTATTATTATTATTGCAAACATCAAGACGAAAGTGTAGAATTATTATTAAAAATATGGGTCCCGAACAACCCGTAACCGTCCCTGTTTCGGACAATGACCGACCTGGATGCAACTGGAGTCATGCTAAACCGCAGAATACCCGATGCGAGGGTCCTAGGCATTCGTCGATAACTATAGATACTTTTACTTCGAGCGAATTATCCGTTTACAACCTCGGTTTGCGCTTTCCACGATATAGTACAAATCAGCCTTTAACATGTCTATTGCACAGTGTTCAATTATATCCGCACGCAAAGCGAATAAAATACGACGATATCATAATTTTAATTTGATAAAAATTACAAACTTCTCGCAAATTGTCCGATCGTGTCGCATAATCGCTAATATCAATACATGCCTCTTCACTACGATTTTTAAACATTAGAATTTTATTTATTTGCATTTTATATTCTCAATAAGAATCGACGTTATTACACTTACTGTATCGTGGTACTTGTCTTAGACAAGATGTAACAATTAAGCGGTGCTTCTTTCAGTACCTAACTACGTGAACGTAATTTGAGTCAAAAGGATAGAACTAACGCAGGTAAGCTAGACAAATATTTAAGTTTTAGTTGTAAATTGAACTGATAACTCATCTAAACAAACTACCAGGCCTTTACATTCTACGTCACCCTGTAAACTCCAATTATTTACTAACAAAGGGTCAATGAGCGAACTTAAAAAGGTCTATTAAATGATCTAGAGGAAACTAAACAATGTGGCGAACACAGAACTTTAACAGTCCACAATATTTGCCTTGATTTCTTCATGATACAATGTTGTTTTCATTGAATTTCTATTAAAAGGAAAATCTAGAAAATGTGTCTGCTCAGTCCAAAACATTCGTTGATGGATACCATGTGTCTTGTAAAATAATTTAGTGAAATAGAAATGAAAGTCATTCCTTGAACCTATGTAAACTCCAAACTGTTGAAAATCTTTTAAAATCATTAAATAAATCTGCCAATTGTGAAAACATTACAATATAATTTAACGTTAGGCGATGTTGTAAAACTTTAAGACATGGATACGCCATCTTTAAATATAATAAACATAGATTAGTAAACAAATGGAATGCTAACAGATTGACATCAAGCTTTAACTTAATGATAGAATTAAAAGGTCTCGTTGACAGCCTACGTTATAAGTATTAGGAGGAAGATTAGGAGAAAAAAAAGATACTTTACTTTCAAGACCTATGAGCGTTCAACAGTGGACATCTTATAGCTGATATGAAGATGATCATGGTTAAAAGTTGCGACAAATGCAATTCTTATTTCATTAAATCACTCGTAACACAAATTAGCACTCCATTTGCTACGGAATCCTTGTGAAATGAAAATATGACCAAGTATAAGTACTAAAAGAAGCACCGTTGTGCAGTTGTGGACCTAGTTGCCCTCGATGGCCTTGGCTACAAACTCTATGAACCGTTTCCCATATTGCTCGGGGTCGCAGGTCGAGATACCGTCCACGTTGCTGCCGTATTTTACAGTCTTCGCTGCTTTCGCCGCCTGCAAAATTGAATGTTAGTTTATCGATAGTATGGTTTTTTTTATTAAAATAATTGCTTTAGTGGTAAATTTTCTTTTTTATTCCATTTATCCCCAAGCGGTCACCAATGACCGCTCTCCACTAACTACATTATAGACCTTAAATTATCATGTTTTCGGCTTACTCACGTAATAATTTGACGAGGAATTCGACTAGTTTAGAAAAACAGAGACCTTATTTCCAATGTTTAGAGACTACTTTTGTATGAACAAATTTAGGGGATGATTTTCAACAATTTTTAACGGGTTAAGAAACGGTTTGAGACTCAAACATTCTCTCCACTTGGTAATAGCGCTGCTTACCTGTTTCTTAACGCCATAATGCGTCAGCACGTCAATCAAAGCGACGAAGTATATCTCTTTTTTTGGGGCACCTGCAATACAAACAAATATCATTAATACTTGAACTCTTAGCAGGCATACTGAGTTCATAGAGACTATTTCAGTGTTGATACTCCTCAATATTAAAAGTATGACACTTACTCTCTTGGCTGGGTATGGCGTATATGTCGAGCTCTGGTATGATCCCCTCGTACCGCAGCGAGGACTGACGCGCGAACCCACGCGGACTGTCCGGGGGAGTGTTATAGCCCCATCTGGGATAAACATAATAATTAATTCATTTTATATAACTGACAAAGGATTATATAAGTGGCTCGGAGGTTTTGAGACGCCCATCTCTCATGCATGAGGGTGGGGGTTCGAAATCTACCAACGGCAAGTACCAATATGACTTATTCCGAGTTATATGTACTTTGGTAAAGCATGTTTCTGCCATAAAAGTATGCAATAAAAGTACAGGGTCCAAACTTTGACGGATTTTAGTCGGCTCGATGACCGTGAGAAGCAAGCTAATTTTTAAAAATCTTGAAATGCACTGTTTCATTTCAAAATTAAACAAATTTTCTATCTTAAGTGTTAAGAGTACTTCCCCTTCAGGTGGCATAACAAAATTCCATCCTGTATATAGGCACACAACCTGAAAAAATCGTAGAGAAATAAGTATAAGGTAGTAACCTGTCTCCATGATGCCTGTTATCAGTGTCGCTGTCAGTGTCCGAGTCCTGGTTGTCGGAGTCGTTCTCGGCATCCCTCTGCCGCGCCGCCTCGGCCTCCGCCTCCCCGCGCCCGCACTCGTGCATGCCCAGCAGCAGCGAGTAGTCCATCAGGTGGAGCTTCGTTAGGAACTGCGTAAAAATGGAGCACATATTAATACTCGTGGCATATTATGTATGTGGGGAAGGAGGATTTAAAAACAGTAGCGCCATCTATTATCATTAAAAAGAACTCTCTAATAATAATAATAGATAATAGATGGCGCTACTGTTTTCAAACCCATAATATATTGTAATGTCTTGTGTTACATGTATTTAGTGGGTAAAGGATACTCAAAATTGTTATTGGCTTGACATCGACAGATTTACTTACGAAAGAATTATCTCTAAAATCGGACAGACTAATGAGGCATTTACTATCATAGACGCTGAACAGTTTATTACTTACTTAAAGTACATGTCACATATATGCCGGAATACTGAAACGTTACTCAATTTTGAGTCGTGCTTAGATATCGTGCCATCTCTGTCATTTTACAAACAATTAGTGGTGACAGGACTATACTTAAGCGCGACTTAAAATTGAGTAGCGTTTCAGTATTCCGACAATACACTTAACTGTAATAAATCATCAAACAACAAAATATTTAACATAAAACCTCACCTCTACGTCAGCAGTAAGTGTCTCCAGTAACTTCTCTTTGGCAGCATCGCCGATATCAATGCGGACTCCTTGCTTGATGAAGTCGTTGTCTTTGAGCGTCGGCAGGTCCTTCTCCAGTTCCTTCTCAGACGCCTCGCGGTCTACCGTGGATCCTTTTAAGTCGTATTTCCTTGAAAGATGGAATTTTATTACTTTTAAGTGAATATTATAGCTGATCTGAAGTCTTCAATTAGTGATCGTATGTTGATTTAAAATTATAAATATCTATAAACAAAAATTTATAAACTTTGCTAAAGGCATTAATTATGGGACAGGGGTTAAAACTAGCTAATAGATCATCTAATGGTAAGCAATCAGAGCCGCCCATTCAACACCAAAGGTTCAAGCATCAAAATTTTTAAGAAACTTGGCTAAAAACCAGTATTTTCTACAGTAAACTATTATATAAGCTCTTTACCTTAAAGAGCACACAAGCACACCTCGCACATTTCGGATTCAGACGATTAGACGTGGGAAAGTGTCATAGGTTTTATGATATTTCATATACAGAATTCTATCATTCGTTTCGTTTTACGCTTTCGGTGTGGATAAGTGTGCGTCCATCTATAGAATCCTTTTAGACATTTTTAACTAATCCCGAACCACAATAACGACTGATTTAGATATAAAATGTCGTCTGCCCTTTGATTACATTGCCGATATGATATTAAATTATGTAACTAAACTTAGATTTTTACTAAATTGAAAAAATAATGAAAAATTCAAACTCAGTCATTAAACTGTCAAACACCGTGAGGACACCGGTGACCGCAACCTATTGTTCTTTAATTATGTCTGTAATGCCGGTACACAGAGGGTTAAATTAGAATAAGCAATGTTTGTGTTTATAGACGTTTATTACGTAGGTCTTGTTGTGAAAGAGCGGAGTTTCCTAACACAGGCATATGTTGCTTAAAGGGAGGCTCCAATCATATTGTATAGGTTCCGTAATCTATTTTTGTTAATAAACGATTTTTTTTAATTACATTAATAACATTTATAAAGGTACGAATGTACCGACAAAAATCATAATTTCACGGCAACAAGTGCACATGCACTAACCAAGATGATTGACATTTGATTAAGCATTAGTTTTATATTAGTACAATGATAAGAAACCTTATCATTACAACCTGTAGTACATAGAAACTGTTTAATTGTTTTATGATCAATACTGTGACTTGGCAACGGAGAGGGCAAGTTATAAATTCTATAATAATACAGGTACAAATGTCATTGAATCTGGAACTATTTAAATTGCTACCTGACATAGAGGGAGACTCGTAGAAGGATACAGCTTGACTGGGCGGCATATAGGACACTCTATCGGGTCTTTTCGTTAATTCTACCGTAAAGCCTGAACAAAAAAGTCTTCAACGACACTAACAGTGCGACTGGTCCACCAATTTAAGGTGGCGCAGCGAGCTATGGAGAGGACTATGCTCGGAGTCACTCTGAAGGATAGAATTCGTAACGAGGTGATCTGATAGAGAACTAAAGTTACCGATGTAGCCCAAAGTATAAGTGTGGTGGTTGCATGCCTAGAGCTGAAGATCGAGGCAGTGCGTGAATTTTTTTTTTTGTTTTTTTTTTAGAGAGGCTTATGTCCAGCCGTGGACGAAAACAGGCTGTTAATGAATAGAGATACCGACCATATGATAAATGGTAAAAAATTAAGACTACATGAAGCTGAGTAAAGCTAGTAGAATGTACATATATAAGACGGGTTTGCCGAAATCACCACGCTACGTAAGGCTCTAAACAGACGAACAGCATTTGAAATCTGAAATCCAACAGCGAATTGCAGTTCGGATGCAGTTAGTTTGAACGCAGTTGACACGATTGCAATAGAACTGCAATCGGACAGCCCGTTTGGTTTGCAACCGTTGGGTCATGACTGCAATAGAACTGCAATCGGACTGCGCATTTGGTTTGCAACCGTTAGGTTAAGACTGCAATAGAACTGCAATCGGACTGCCCGTTAAGTTTGCAACCGTTGGGTCATGACTATAATAGAACTGCAATCGGACTCCCCGTTTGGTTTGCAACCGTTGGGTCATGACTGCAATAGAACTGTAATCGGACTCCCCGTTTGTTTTGCAACCGTTGGGTCATGCATGACTGCAATAGAACTGCAATCGGACTCCCTGTTTATTTTGCAACCGTTGGGTCATGACTGCAATAGAACTGCAATCGGACTGCTCGTTTGGTTTGCAACCGTTGGGTCATGACTGCTCGTTTGGGCTCGTTAGGTCCTTTCTAGAGCCTAAGCGAGTTGAAGGTCGCTGTTTAAACAAACCAGGTTTGTAAGAGACCAGCTATTGCTCAGTGCCTGTGAAATGTGTAATCCCTTAGTCGGATATTGAGATACGCTCGGGAAAAAAAGGCGGTAACAAATGTCTCTGTTAACACCGCATAGTTAGTAAGTAAACTACTGCAAATGTCATTCTGTATCTGTATTTAGGTGACTACAATAAGACACGTCTTAAAATAAATAGTGATAACATCGAAATTTCACACGTGTCCTGCAAATAATGCTTGAATAAGATTTCGAATAATGTGCTAAACAAATAACATGTAATGTCAGGTGAATAATTTAGGAATTACGTCATATTGATAGGGTTTATGATGAATGTTTCTCTGAATTTTTCGTTTTGTGTTGATCCTTTATCAGTCTTAGGACTATTTCCGTCTGATATCGAAAGGCAAAGCGGACGATTAATTGACAAAATGAAGTATTGACAAGACCACCTGACTTAGTAACAATGTAATCAACCTTAAGAGTTAAGGTCCTAAGTTTCAAAAATAGCAAAACCAATCCACATTTCGCGTCCAAATCGTTTAGCATTCATACAGTCAAATAAACATAGACTCTACGCGTTTTACAGTAGTCAATTCAAAACGAACCTTAATCCAACACTACATAGAATTTAATTTAACTTGTATTACCTGTGGATATTGAGGTGGTTGGAGAATACATTTCTAGTGGCGACGAGGTAGTGTTCAATGCCGTCGACAGTCAGCCGATACATGCCCAGGTACTGAGGCAGCAGGGTCTTGCCGTGGCGCTCCACGATGTACTGGAAATATGAGGGCAATTGTTATAACAAAACCGTAGACCTTTTAATGAGACTTCTATGCTTTAGTTTTAGTTTACTTTGCTTAGTACAGAAATCAAAATCATTGGTTAGCTACTGAGCCAATCAATGGTTACATGAGATTTGTGTCTTTAGTCAACCTGCAATCCTGCATACTAACTTGGCTCACTGACAAGGATATTTCCTAAAATCTTAACTTAGAAACTTAGATATTGTAATAATCACTTCATTTTAACAAAGTTACTTGGTACCGTCTCATTACATTTCTATAAAAGAACAGTCCATTATCAACAGAACCATATTGTTAACAAAACAAAACAAAAGAGTACCGAATGGACTTTCTAGCTCGTTGTTCTCCATTCGAATCTACATTTTGGAACGAGCACGTTGCTTCAAAGGACAATTTTTTTAATGGCATAATCCAGTATACGAGCAGACGGATCACCTGATGGTAAGCGATCGGCGTCGCCCATGGACACCTGGAACACCAGAGGCGTTACAAGTGCGTTACCGGTCTTTTGGGGATTAGGAGTTTGAGGATCGTTGGGGATTCAGGGATTGGGGAGATTGGGGAAGGGTAGGGTAATTGGGTCTCCGGTAACCTCACTTACACGACGAAACACAACGCAAGCGTTGCTTCACGTCGGTTTTCTGTGAAGCCGTGGTATCAGTCCGGTCGAGCCGGCCCATTCGTGCCGAAGCATGGCTCTCCCACACTTAAAAGTATTTTATTAAATTTATTTTGTATTTCTTGACGTTCCAAAAGTATCAAATCATGGTTTAATTGAAATAAATGACTTTGAAGTTATAAAAGACTAAAAACCACCTTACACAAAGATACATAATTACTTATTTAAACACATTTCTAAATTAACTTACATCAGTAGGAGACAAGAGTGTTATCTACCACATATAATATAATATATTATATACTATCGGAAGTAAAAACATTATGTACTTTCTACGATAAGATAGTAGAGAGAATGTTATATGTCTATTGTTTACATGCCAATTGATAAATCTTTGAATGATGTCGCTATCTTAGGAGCTGTGCAGTTGGCATGGAAGATAAATACATAGATATCACTTTTACTGGCGGTGTAATAGGGTTTTTATATTTGTGGCGACACATGTCATACATGAAATATCGGTGAAAACAAATCGACGGATGACGTCACAAAAATCCTACATCGCACAAGTAAATTTTACATGTGAATTAACACGAATAGAAAATCCCAACGAACAACTGTTGGATAGAAAGCCAGCCAGGCACGATCACCTCGCCTGGTCGGAGGATCCTCCTTTTCCGATCTTAGGGAACTATACTCTCTGTTCCCTAAATATTTATGGTTTAATTTTTGTTGCAATACGTATCCCTCAAGGCTTCTTGCTTGTAGTCTTACTTTATGCTTAAAATGTTCAAAGCATAGATTGCTTGTTGCTTTACCAAATAGATTAGTCATATCATTGACGATGTTTTGTTCAAATGGCGGATAGGTCAGAATCGAAACCATTAGGTCTTTTGTGTTACGGAGATGCGGAGAACGTAAAAGATTACCGGGGCTCCGGCTCGAAGTGCAGAAGTAAGAACGGGGTGTTTTTAGTGAGTAAAAGTCTGACACTCCTTTCTGCCTCATCCAGGCGGGAGAAGACATTCGATGATTGTCCCCCTTAAAAAAAGGTCTTTTGTGTATAATTCTATAGGACCACCTACTATAACTGCAACCGAAACTAATACCTGGGATTTTACAGACTATAGTAATGGCAGGTCGGACAAGGAGACGTCTCATTTGATTAAAAGTAATGAGTGCTGCTCATGGACACCCGCAACACCAGATAAGTCACTGGTGCGTTGCTAAGTCTTTCCGGAGGATTTTTTTAAACGTTGTCCCACACTAGTTTTCTTCTGTATCGTGGGTGCGTTTACTAACATACAAGTTCACATACACATGACACCCAGACTCGAAACAACAATCTGTGGGTCACACAAAGAGTTGTTCCCGCGACACGTTGCGCGGCAGCCAGTTGCCCAACTACCGCGCCAACCGTGTAGTACCTATGATGGGTTGGTAAACTCACTTACTCGGCGACAACCATTGATGGCGAAAACTTACAAACATTGAATAAATACTCACAGGATGATAATGTTTTAGGAACGAGTGCATCCTCTCCACCTCCTCAGAAGTCAGGGTCTTGAGAATGAAAAGCCTATCGTAGCTCTGATAGAACTTGGCTCCAGACTTGCCTGACGAGTCATCCGGGATTGGCTGGGATCTGTCGACAATTTAGCGTTTATTGGTTAACAATTCTATTAATATTTGCTGATTGGTTATAATTTGAATGGTGTGATACCGTGTGACGTGTGATTGGTATACATTATTTTACATTTTGTTTCTTTTTGTACAGTAAGTTGAATGTAAGTTGGATACACATTAGAATAACCTTAATTATTTTTCATGACATAATCTAAACGCTTCTTAACTTTATTATTATAGAAGAAGACCGATTTAATCGAACATTAATTTCTATTAAAACTTTCGTGAGACATAAGTACTAAATTAATTATTATGTAGCAGTGCGACAGTCGCCGCGCCGCGATACTCATAAATATGAGCCTCTAGCATGGCTTGAAACTGGTCGAGTAGGCCAAAAACATAATAATTAACATTTAATTTGATTATTGCATTTTTATATACAATAGAGAGGAAAAAGAAACAAATGTATCACCGGTTATTATTATTAGTCAACCAAGAATTAAAAACACCATTTGAAACATGTAAGTACTAAACAGACTTTATCCTAGGATATAAACAATCTATTTTCTACGTATTTATTCAGATTTATTCATGAGTACACGATTAATAAAAAATATTTTTACTTTTTTAGAGAAATCCAAACAAAACAATATTAAACCAATCATTATTTTAATGTAACTCCAATACTTTTTACAACAGATAGACGTAAAATTCAAAACGGAAAATAAATTACAATGTTTGATAGCCATCAGTACAAAAGAAATAGCTGTTGGTTTATGGAGCTATTAAGCTTATAGTGTAGATAAATTGCCGGTTTATAGGCTATAGGCTGTCATTAAGATAGATCTTATTTAGGTCTTAGAATACAGGCTTTAGTTTGTCTATCAAAGGTAGCCTGACGTCACGTTGTTAAATAGCGTTTATTTTATTTTTTTAAGATTAACGTTGGAGTTTCTTTCTCGTTCTTCTCCATTCGAAACTACACTTTAAAACGAGATCCTAGCTTCGTGAACATACAGACGGACGAACAATTCAACTTCTGGACGTTTCAAAAGTGTCTAATTAATGATTAATTCAAATAAATGCTTTGACGTTGACTTTGACTTCACTGAAATGGAAAGCAAAGGTGCACAAGTGCACATAAAGGTACGGAATAACACCCATTTTCACCACTATGTTATGAGACCTATGTATTACGAACGTGTGAGATTCAGACTTCGTGCTTTTAACTACTGATCCTCATCATCATATCAGCCACAGGACATCCACTGTTGAACCTAGGCCTCTCATGATTGACGTCCAGACAGGCCAGTTGGAAGCGTACCATTTAACTACTGAAACATTTTAGATAAACTCCCTAATTAATCTTTTCCCGGCTTGGAAATCAGTAAGACTCGGTACCTACATGTGATTTTTTTTAATATTTGGTGTGTCAACGTTTAACCACTATCTCGCTTGGTGGTAATCAATGATGCGGTCACGTCGTCCCATTTTGTATTTCAATTTAGTTGGTAAGTTTTATTTATTTTATTTACACCCCTATTTTATTTACATTATACTAACAATTAATGCCTTCTTATCGCTCCAAAAGTTATTAAAAGTGTTAATAAACAACCAAAATGGATCGTTACGTCGACCACAGTATAACTTAGGAGGAAAACAAAGAACTCTATCTGTGACTCACACACTAGGCATACCTACGTCAATAATAATCTTACGAATCTAAGAACATACTGACATTACGTCATTTTTTTATTATAACTAAGTCTTTGATAAACTTTTTAATTGTTACTTCTTTGTTTTATTTTAATTTTCATAAACTACAGTAACCTCTATTCCTCCCATGGGCTAGAGCAGACTATGGGTGTGGTGTTTCTGTAAGGACATTCTGGGCTATGAGCACAGGCAGTGAAAGAACACCGCGGTGGTTCTAACGAGTCCGGCACGCCCCCGTCGTGCCCACGACTTTCCATCGCGATACAAATAAAAAACAATGGGACTACATTATTGGTTAACACAACCTGGGCTTCAGGATATTCAGTATTCTAATATGTACTATCAAGATAAAAACTATGAGAGAATGCCTTTTTGTAGGGGGAAAGACAACGAATGACTTCTCCTACCTTAGGTGAGGCAAGAGAGAGTTTCAGACTCTTACTGACTAAAAACCTGCTTTGAGCTGAATCCACGGTAACCCGTCAGGTTGTCCGCAGCTCTGAGTGTGAGAGTCCTTAGGCATTAAGTCCGCATCTATGTGTATATGCGGCGCATATACACATAGATATTTGGTATTAAGTTTGAAGACCTGAGCAGAAGCTAACTGATAATATTAACATATGCAGTAACCTGTCACGTCATTGTATCTCTTTGGGATTCCATAAAAACTAAAGTAAGTTTGTTTCTACAAAAGCCGATGTTCGATCGGATAACTAAATAGATTTACTCTGATATAATTAAACAGTCGCTCACACTACCAGTTGCGTAAATCCTACTAATCCATAACCTTCTGCAGACTTAGTGCATTAACGCGATTAAACTAATACACAAACTTGTGGTTTTATTTAACAAAAATCAATAGACAGCTCGTGGGAGCACACTAGTCGACTAGTGGCTTACAAAAGAGGTTTCTCATTATATCTCTACGCTAGACAAACAGGTTAAAGATCGTAGTTAGAAAGAATTATATTTATCAGATAGCGTTGCTGTCAACTAATCAATACAACTATAAAATACTTTTTAAAAATCTTCTAAATAACGAGATTTTCAACAACGTACAAAAACCCTTCTAAAGGCCGTTCCATTCCCATCACCATAAGCCCAAGCATCAAAAATTTCACAAATCGCGACAGATGATATCTGTGTACGCCCACTGTCCCATATACCTGACATTACATACGCGGCCTTGGGGGGGAGGGCTTAGACGAGATTGTCCCAAACTTGACCTTACCTTGACCTAAAAATTCATTGTAATTAAACAAGAAAAAATTACGAACCCGGAAATTGCTTTAACTTTTAAATGTGTTTCATTGTTTTATTTTGAGAGTAACTGATACGTTTTTGTTTGAAGCTCACACCTAGTACCCGGCTTTATATAAATCGAAATCGTATAGTGTTTTATTAATGGTTTTATTCTACTAAAAATCAATAAAGAATTATTAATTTTAAAGTTGCATACATAGAGAACATTGCATCACTATATTTTTAGTTCATTTTTCTAATAGTGTCGATATCATATCTATTTAATTTTGTTTTGTTCTTTAGTAAGATTGCAACATAATCTACCTAGTGGCCAAATATATCTAGGTTACGAAAAATCTTATACCATAACAAAGTAATGATAAATTAGTTCACACAATCTCTAAAACCGATTGTTATTCATTCAAAGTGTATAAAAATTAGAATACCGTTATCAACTGTGATAGTGAATCGTGAATGAATTCGTGATTACAATCTTGCACGCCCTAACAAGTGAAAATTAAGGATACTCAAAGAAAATTACAGGTCTTCGCAGATTACAGACTTCTTCTACAAACTCATAATGACTCACTTCAACCTCATTTGAGTATTTGTCTGCAATCTACGTAGACATCAAATAAAATCATCCTATATACAAGTACGTACGTAGCTGTATCTTAATTTAATACTTATGTCCTTAGTCTTTGAGTTTCCTATCATTTGTCAAATATCATAATGCAAATTGATTCGTGTGATAACTCCTCATTAGTCGTGTGAGTGCGTAAAGATGCCAATTAACATAATACTTACCAACCGGTGAAAGTGCACATGAATGTGCTGCAGCATTAATGTGCACATGTCGTGTTAATGTTCGAAATATAAATATACATAGGTAGGTACATATATATGATATATTAAGTAATCGAGACATATGGGACAATTGCAGAGGTTAAGGAACGTAAATTGAGGTCACGGTCAATCAAGGATCGAGGCACTCTTGACACCCATTTAACCTAAACTGGAATGGACAAACGGGAGGATGGGCATACAGTAACCAAAATCCAACAAAAATCCAATTCCATCCAAACATGGAGACCATCTCTCATGGAGGCCTCTTACAAGCGGTTAGACAAGGGAAATGACTTCACAATACAGCCAGTGAACGTGGTATAATGCTATGCTCGCCGTGTCAGTTCGAAAGGCACACTACATACTGTTATTTGAGAAAAAATAAAACTGAAAAAAAAAATCGTACAGCTGCTTAGTAAAACTCCGCTGACCTCAGGCGTTTTATCGTCAGCCCCCGTTTGACGAACTCGCTTGCATCGTGGAATATGCTCTCTTGGTGCGTTTCATTTTTCATGTTGGCAACCCCGTTAGGCGCCGTCGCCGATCGCCGCAGCAAGCTGGTAGGCCTCTTCTGGGGCCTCGAACACAGGTAGTTATCTGGCTTTCTAAACCTAAGGACCACGGGGCGGGAAGTGGGATCGAGGACGGAAGATAATACATATGGGAATAAACATAAACATAAATAAATACATATTCAATAAAGAAAATAATATTTATCGTTAGCGTATCACTCGTGCCAGTCCAATTGTCGTCGGGTAATGGCTATGTACCTATAGTTAGGGGTTGTACCTTGTGAGAGACTCCTTGTAGTCGAGATCATCGATTCCGAACCTCTCCCGAAGGTTCCTGAACACCAGGGGGCAGTACTCCTTGACCTTGAAGTGAGATGGCATGTTTTCTCTGAAACAATCATTGAGAGATATGTAATCAGTAATCACTTATTAATAATTGTTATCTAAATGTATATAAGTGATTATGCAAATTGCACAACACTTAAATGGTAATAAGGATAAAAATAAACAAACATACTGAAGCCGTAAGCCGCTAACGTTCGTAGTCAATCTGTTACTAAATAATTTAATACGTATTTGTACATGTTTTGAACTACTTATTATTATATACCCTCTATTCTAATCAACGTGTTTCTATATTTCTACTCTGGCATCGTTCTAATTTATCAAACATTTTTTTTAAAACGTCTGCTTGCCAAAATGGCCCATTCTCCCCAGAGTTTGCGCTTAGCAACACATTTGGCGAGTCATATTAATATTTTTACATAGATCAAATTTATGATGACAACTTGAGATCATTGTATGCTTATTGGAATTTTTCTTGACGTATCAATATCATGAGATAGTGTTAAAAGATTCCTAAAATGTATCATTTGAATATTCGGACAATATCATTCAAATTGCCTCACATACACATATCAAACTGTTTCCGAATTACCATACCTAAGTCCTTTGCATGATAACAGGGAAATTTTATTTCGTGGAAATGATAAACAGTGTATTAAAGACATTGATATTGACAATAATATTTGAATTTTATGTCTTATCTAGGAGGAAACTCTATTAAATAATAGAGCAATTAACACATAATAATATCAGCATTATGACTTAACTTTACGCCTGGTTTTTCTTGAAAATGTTATTGTATAGTTTTAGTATCCAGATGAATATTTTTTTACATTTTTGTTCAGTAGCAAGAAACAGTACGTTTTTGAATACAGATTGACCCTCCCTAAAACTATAAAATAACAGTGTCATACATTATTAGCTTCTTCTTCTGCCCGCGACTTCGTACGCGTAATCCCATTTTTTTCCCGTTCCCGTTCGCGATTTTCGGTAAAAAGTAAAAAAGTATTGGTTAAAAAATATCCTATGTCCGTCTCCTGGTTCTAAGCCCCGCCAATTTTCATCTAAATCGATTTAGCCATTCTTGAGTTAGAAATAGTGTAACATACACGACTTTCTTTTATAGATTAAGTACTAGTTGAATTACTTCATTACAGAGTCACAGTTTGGAATCTCCACCACAATAGGTTCTTTAGATAACTATGCTATACAACTAAGCCTATCCTTTTGAGATAAACAAAATATCATATTGTATTTCTAAAGTAAATAGAACATGTGTTAAGCTATTAATAAGACATTAAACAAATCATTCAGCTACATCAATTAAATATTGACGCACCATGTACGTTTATTATTAGCCAAGAGATTATAAATGGTTTAATAGACCTTAATAGCTCTCAGATTAATGATTATACATGATAGTCAAGTGTTTCTATTTATGAACAACTAGCAATAGCATTAAAATATAGTTTTATCCGCGTAAGTCATTCATAAATATCGTAAACGTACGTCCAAACCTGAGAAAGCGCCCTTCGCGTTCACGAAATGCTCGCGAAGGACGCATTTGCCAGTAATGGACATACCATAGAAAGCCAAGTTATTTAATAAATTCAGAATTTTTGAAATCAGAATTATTAAAAAGCAGACGGGTTCATTTAAACTAATAAATAAAAATTTCATGAAGGATGTTTGTCATAGAATTGGATCTCAATGGAATAAGTACCTTCATCACGATACAACTTATTCTCTTCATGGGTTAAAGTTTATTTTTTATGGCATAAGCCGGTAAACGAGCAGACGGATCACCTGATGGTAAGCAATCGGCGTCGCCCATGGACACTTGGAACACCAGAGGCGTTACAAGTGCGTCACCGGCATTTTTGGGATTAGGCGTTTGAGGATCGGTGGGGATTCAGGGATTGGGGAGATTGGGGAAGGGGAAGGTTAGGCTATAAGAACTATAAATGTCTACTGTTTTTATGGGATAAACCGGTAAACGAACAACGAACGGACGTTTGCCGAACATTAAGTCTCGAGTTCGATTCTTAGGTCAATCAAAGTGTAGTATTGTCACGTTTATAACATTTTATACTTCCTAGTGCTTTCAATTGTACAATTAAATAAAATTAATCGGTTTTTACGATACCCATGGGGAGAGTAGCGTTGTATAATTTTATTAATCCGCCATACATTTATAAATTCGTGAACAGTTAATGTTAATTTTATGGGATCAGCCGATAAACGAGCAGTCGGATCACCTAATGGTAAGCAATCGGCGTCAATGCCAATGGACACCTGGGAACACCAAAGACGTTACAAGTGCGGTATTTCCTCTCATTTTGGGGATTAGGAATTTGAGGATTGTTGGGAATTCAAGGATTGGATTTGGGATAGTTGGGGCGCCGGTAACCTCGCTCACACAATGCAAAAATACTTTCACTATTTAATACCTGGACCCTTTAGGGGAGTCAAATGTAATAGATTACAATGTTCCAATATTATCCTTATATGAGACTGGTATCGCAATCAAGTTTGACATTACGCTTATAAGCTTCCAGGTAATAGATTACTTATCAAAATAATGCTGATATTACTAGTTCATTTCATATTATTTATCTATATTTACATATACTCATAAAACGTTTATGAGTTGTTGACTCATCTACTAAACTACTGAAGGATTAGAATTTGGAAATAATTGACTGTCTTGTTGTATAAAAGAGTAACAAATGGAGTTTCTTGATTGTTCTTCTCTATTCAAATCTACATTTGGAACGAGCATCTAGCAGCATCTATCAGTGAAGACTGATGGACAGACTAACAGTTAACAATTAGGGAATAAAATATTTCATAGTTTGTATCTTATGGTATGCCATACTGTTATACCGATTAGAATTTAACAATAGACTTATCGTTACTATTAGATTATGTACAAAATCAATTTATATTCCAATTTGATAATTCTTCTTTCTAATTGCAATATTTTCTAATAGGTAATGTTTTTAACCAAACAAGGAAGCTATTGCATGAAGTAAATTATAATATATTATTTTAAACTGTCAAACACCGTTAGGACACCAGTGTCCGCACACCTATTATTCTTTAATTGTGTCTATAATGACGGGACTCAAAGGGTTAAGCTTGTAACAAAGCTAAAATTAAAATGAATAGTAACACTGGGTCATTGGGTTTCAGTGTTTTTTTTTCAGTAAACTTAAGCAGTAATAAAGGTTAATCAGTACCAATTAAAAGCCCGTACATACAACTCTAACTAAAACCAGGAAATGACTGAATAGGTACCTTTACCTTTATCAAACATTTTCTATGCATTATCCTTCATTTTTATTCTGTCTCTGGTACTGCATAAAACTCCTACTTCCATGAAGGAAAAACTATATAATATGTGTGTGCAATATTGTAAAACATGTGCTACAGATTAACAGTAACTGGTATGAAAATAATAATGTGTCCTTGAATGTCTGTCTATGTTTACAGTCCAAGCAAAATTGTAAATTCTCTCAAATTTATTTCTGAACATAATCTTGTGCACATTTTCTTGTGTTCATTTTACAATGGGATTGTATTATTGCATTCTAAATTTGAACTTTGGCTCCTTTTGTTTGAAACCTATTGTTAGAGTAACAACATACAGAGCTGCAATATACCGTGATAATTGGTGTAACGATTACAGATCATATTATTATAATCATAGTGAACCAGACCAATAAATTATGTACAAAATAATAATTAATAATATAAATCTTATAAGTAAATATTAAATGGTCAGATATTATTTTTCCAATGTTATTTGTGATTGATGATGCATAATTTAAAATTAGATTTGGTATGTTAGAAATAAAATCTTACTTGTTAAATAAATGGTTGTCAACTTTGAGCTTAGAATAAGCTCTGAAGTCATCAGGAAGCAGCATGACTGGAATTGTGACATGACTTAGCTCGTTAATCTGGAAAAAAATAAGTAGTTATCATTAATCTAACTACTTTTTATGCAAATATTGTTGTCACCTATATATCGGATCTACGTCCAACGCAATAAAGTTTAATAGTCTATTTATATTCAATGGCAAGGAGACACATAAAAACAGTGGATTGACAAAGTGCCAGAATTTACAATGGGATATTGGGCCTACAAGAAAAGATTTTTGTTAGATAAAAATTCGAATGTAAACATTGTAAAACCACAACAAACCAGTTGTGGGGGAAATGACATAATAATGATGCTTCGCTCACTGAGATGGTTCAAATAGGATTATACACCCGCCATACTACTCCAATAAGTGCATAAAATATCAAGTAATTACCGTGTGATTCACACCCCACATAAACACAGATAGTAATGGTTCATTTGCACGAAACAGTTTCACTTTTTGATGTTTTACACGAATATGTTTCTTCTTCAATTTGCTCAATCCAGTGCTAGGAACGGACATTTTGGAATTGTTTACAACTTTTACCAGAGTCAAAAAACCACCACTGTACGTAATTTATAGCGCGAGACAATAGTTAAACCATTTTTAGTAAACGGGGAATCTTTTTAATCACAAAGAAAGACGATCAAAATGAGAAATTTACAGAAACTCGACACCCATCAACAGCAGCAAACGGCTTTTTGACAGACAGAGTCGGACACAGAAACAGAATGAATAAAACACTGTAAATGAAGTGCAACGAAAATCGACTAAATAGAGATGGCCTACATTTAAATACTAAATGGTAGTTTTCATAGTTAATCTTGATAGCACGGTAGAAAAAAAATCTACTTTCGGTTATAATTATTTTAAAACTTACAATTTGCCATAACCATTACTGACCTCTAACGCGATCTTTAATCTGCGTCAGCACCACATCCTAACTCAAAATGTTGACTTTTATGAATATATGACATAAAGGATTTTTGTCGGCAAATGGCTTCACATTTACAATTCATCATCATCATTAATAGCAACAGCCGAAAGACATCCACTGCTGGATAAAATCTTCGTCCTCCACGTCGAACGACAACTAGCCACTTGCATCCACTGGCTTCTCGAGTTCTCGCAGGTTTAGAGTTAACTAAACTCCGTGTAAACTATGCATAGGTTCAGCTGGCAGTGCTGGCACTGGCAACATTATTTATTTAGTGCACAGAGCATGTAATTATAAGAGGCGGATCTTAGTACATTCAATTTTTTGAGAGTTCGTAACGGCGCTTAGCCAACCACACATGTGACACAATGCTACCAACATTAGCAATGACAGTGACAACCATGACCTTGAAAAGAGTAACTGTCACGAATAAGGATGGGCAACGTATCGATATTCAGATTTCATCGATATCGATAAAATATTAAGCATGCTTTTATATAGGATTCCTGCACAAAAGTATATATTTTGAAAATTAGGAAAAAAAACACTATTTTATATAATTTTACTTATTCATTTATTTACCTAATACATTCACCATATATTACAGATTAGATACAGAAGTTGTTTCTTACAATGCCACTTTTCTGACAATCGACCTTTACATTTAAATCATTTACGCTGAAATATTCAAACGCTGGCTGATCATGCATTTGCATTGCTTTACGTTGCAAGGTATTTTTAAGGGGGGGGGGGGGAATCATTGAATGACTTCGGCCGCCTGGATGAGGCGGATCAGACTTTTACTGGCTAAAAACCACCCCGTTCCTACTCCTGTACTTCGAGCCGAAAATATCATGGTTGTTAAAGATACTGGATTCCATATATTAACAACAATCTGTGACCTCCTGTTTTTAGGACCCTTCCTACAAACATGGGGACCCTGAAACTATTAAAATCATTATCACTTCCTCCAATTAACGCAAATAACAACTATTTTACTTACTCAAATGGAAAAAATTACATTGTTTATGATATACCTCATTTATTTAAATCGATTAGAAATAATTTCTTCAAATATGGGGAAATGTATATGTCTGGAATGAAGGCTAAATGGGAGCATTTGTTACAAGCAGAGGAAAAAAATAGAAACCTCTTATACCTCAGCAAAATCATTAAAGTGCACGTGGAGCCAAAATATAGGGATCACAGATTGTTGTTAATATATTGAATCCAGTATCTTCAACAACCATGATAATTTCTTTTATAATTGAGGCTAGTTTTTGGTAGGAAACTGTACCCTTAACAAAATAAAAAGCTATTGGCTGCTTAAACTTTGCTCGTGTACCTTGCAACATAAATACCGATGCATGGTCAGCCAGTTGAGAACCACGTTCTACTTCCGGGCCATAGTCTTCATAACCCTCAACCTTGTCTTTACTACTATTAAAAAAGAGACGCCGTTTTAGAGCAATCTCGTCAAATATGTAAAGTAAATAGACCACAGTACTTGTCTTTTTTATCCATAATTTACAGATTTTTTTTAAATGTTTTGTAACAGATTTGTTTACACCAGTGGAGACTGATATTTTTTTAAAAACATTATGCAACGTTTTTACTCTTGGTAGTGACATTAGCTGCTGCAGATATCGAAAGGCTTTTGGTGACCTCTTAAATATAGCTAAGGCTCATATTTTTTTTTTGATGTCCAACGGCGACCGTTGGCTTTCTTTTTTGATTTGCCAACGCCTACAGAACTATTTCTTTTAAGACGCCTGACTCCAATTTATCTAAAAGATTAGCGCTACGTCTAAGTGCTGTCAGGCTGCATTTTGTTTTTTTCAGGCGCTCCATCAATTTCTTCTCCCTTAGCGTTAAATCTGTAAATAAAATAAAATATTTTACAAAAGCCTTGCAAGCATTTCTCTGCACACATAACACAATTTAAAATAGCAATAGAACACAAAATTACTAAAACCATATCGAGGATCGTTTTCAATCTTTCTATTTGTTAATAATATTCTAACATTAAATAAGTTTAATGGATGTTCCTATATGTAAAAGCCAACTTAGAAAACTAGTTTTAGTTCTGTAACAAATCGGCTACAATGGTTTTAATACATCTTAAGTTTCACCCCCAACCCCTTTTACGTGATTCCGTGTGTGCCTCAACGTGGCTTTGACAGCTACTGGAAGATAGAAGTGCTGATGGCTACTAGGGGCCATCGTAGTGTTGTTGTTCTAATGCAAAGAGGATGCTGCTGCCCATTCTCTGATATATTATCTTACTAGCTGTGCTTGCGACTTCGTCAGCGTGGAATAGTGATTCAAAGCTACTCTCACGTAGGGTAGCGTGTAATATGTCTATGTTGACCCGACCTTTTAGTAATATTCATGCAAAGTATGAAATAAATCCAAGTAGTACTTTTTGAATTTAACCCGGACATATATACAGAACTCATATTTTTGGCTTCGGTATCGATTGTAGATCACACTACAAGTATTCTTTAAAAAAAATATTCAATGTACAAATTAGACTTTTCTACGTTTTTATTATATGTATAGATTAACCTTACACAACCTTATACCCACGCTACCGAAGATATGTAATTGTGTTATTTTCTATGCATTATAAATAATGATAAAGTACTTACTAGGCATTTTCTCAGGCAGATTTTCAACAGTAGAAAGGGTATGTATTTCTTCTGAAAAATAAATATAAAAAGAAATAAGTAAAGTCATAAAACCGGCCTCCCTCGTTGGTTGAGTGGTCGCAAGTGCGACTGCTGAGCAAGGAGTTTCGGATTCAATTCCCGGGTCAGGCAAAGTATTACTGTGTTTAAAACAATTCTCAGTAGTAGCATGGAGTCTGGAATTGTGCACGGTATATGGCAATAGACTCAACCCCTATTACATGCGACTCATAACATAAATAGTGGAAAGTGGGTGCTACGTTACAATGTATAGTGCCATTAATTACTGTAATGTACACCTCCGCCCACACTTCGGGGATAAAAGGCGTGATGTTATGTTATGTCATAAAAAGTTGTTCCTATGTCATGAATACCGCAGCACTGGCAGTCAATGCAATCGAATGATAGGAAGAAATACTCAAAACATCTTCACTGACCTTGAGACAGCTCCACAGAGATCTGACTTAATTGCTTACTCGTGGATGGCACTGCTTCAGGCAAAATATCTGAAATGATACATTATGATTTAAAACTAGTCTGATAGCCGCTAGATATGAGAGCTGATGACTTCAAAAATGGTCCAAATAAAGATTTTTTTTTCATTATTGCACGTTGGTGCGGCGGCTGGAAACCGGCTACAACCGGCAACATGTAGCGGGTTCTATTACCGCACATAATGATTATTCTGTGATTCACAAATACTTGTTTCGGGTCAGGGTCTCATGTGTTTGTGAAATTATATGTTAGTAATAAGCTGATAAAAATATCATCAGCCTGTAGCAGACCATACCATTGCTACTCATGGACCTCTCGAATAGCATGCTATTTTTCAGATCCGTTCACAACACCTTTCATCTATCCTATTTTTTAATATTCAGAATAAGACTGAAGTAAGAAACAAGGGAATTTAATATTAAACAAAAGCTTTTGCAGGCAGGTAGGTAAAAATATTAACGAAAATATACCAGAATAAAAATAATTTTATGCCTTAACTTGTCATGCCTGGTCTACTCTTGCAACCGAATATCTGTTTAATCAAGAACGGATTAACTGACATCCAAAATTACTACTATCAAACTATCATCACTAGCCAGAAGTGCTCAATGCTGAACGAATATTTATTCTCACGCGGAGACTGTATGAACTACGGATTCACTACGGTGCTTGCTCAAGGCAGTTTGGTGATTTCAAACTTATAGTTTGAGATATTAAGTCCAGGATTTATCACGTTTCCTACCTTCACCACCTCGACAACACATCCATAGAATGTCACATACATACTTATCAATAGGATTTAGTAGCATAACATACCTTTTTGATTCAGTTCCATAAGGATTCAAGTTCTTGATTGTTGGCTCGTGGATGGCACTGGCTGTACTTGAGGAAGAACATCTGTAAGATAAATTATGGTTTGAAATTAAAAGACGGATTAACTGATATTTTAAATTACGCACTATCAAACTATAAACTTTCACATCATCATTACTAGGCAGAAATAGTCACTGCTGAACAAATACTTATTTTCACAAGGAGACAGTATAAGCTTCAATCTCTACGCTTGCTCAAGACAGATTGGAGATTTCAAACTCATAGTTTGAAATAATAAGTCCAGGTTTACTCAGGACGTTTTAGGAGAAGCTTAAATAAACTTGAAAAGTATATAATATTTATACTTTGGAAAAAATAACATTGGTACCTGCTAGGTTTCGAACCTGGGTGGCCTTCTCGGCCACCACGACATCACATCCATAGATAGTCACATAGAAACTTATTAATAGAATTTAGTAGCATAACATACCTTTTTGATTCAGTTCCATAAGGATTCAAGTTCTTGATTGTTGGCTCGTGGATGGCACTGGCTGTACTTGAGGAAGAACATCTGTAAGATAAATTAT